CGCGCTGCTGCTGCTGGCCGCCGCCTGTGCCACCTGCGCCGCGCTGTCCTGGGCCATGCCCGCCGCGCCCAGCTCCGCGCCCAGCTCGAGCTCCCTCACCGGTGCCTGCGTCCAGGGCCCAGACCACCCGCAGGTGAGGCGCGCCGCGACCCGGCCTCTGCGGGCCAGGGAACCCCTGCCATCCCTCTGGGATTCTTCTCCCCACCGCACGGGAGGAGAGCGCTTCCATCCGGGGCCGGGGGAGACTCCTCCATCCCAGATCCCCCTGGGGCTTTCTCCCTCCGGCGGAGACCTCGTCTCCATCGCCGGCCCTGAGGAGATCCTTTTCCACCCTGCCCTCTGGGAAGACCCTTCCTGCATCCCGCATCCCCGGGAGACCTGGGGCAGAGAGGGGAACTCTTTTTCCACCCTCACCCGGAGGGGGCACTTTTTCTTTTGTCCGACTACGGAGGGAACTTCCACTTCCCTTCTGACGCTGTGGAACCTCTCATCGTTCTTGGACTCCTGCGGGGAGTCCATCTCCAAACCTCCAAACCAAAACCAAAGCCGCGGCAGGACTCGATTCTCACTTAGGCCGACCCGGCGTTTGTCAGAGTAGAACAAAGCTAGGAGCGCAGCCGCTGTCGGAAAGATTGGCTGTTCAGCCGACCCAGCGGTTCCTCCGAAGGAAGCCCTGGCGATTGCTCCCGTAAAGATTACAGCCTTGGAAATCCTACGGGGGCAGCGCTACTCTGTCCCATGGGGTGGCCAGGAGTCCACAGCGCCACCGACAACAACCTTCACGGAAGCAGATTGCCAGGCCTTTCTTTCATGGCACTCCTGGGTGGGTTCAAACTGCCAACCTTTTGGTTAGCAGCAGAGTGCAAACCGTCTGGCCCAGGCAGGGACCTCTTCCAAGACCTCCAAACCGGGAAAAAAACCAAACTCACTGCCTTCCAGTCGGATCCTGCTCTTAGCGACCGCTCCTTGGGTTTCCGAGGAGGTATCAGTACGCAAGTAGATTGCCCAACCTTCCTTCCGAGGAGTGGCTGGTGGGTTTGAACCGCCAGCCCTCTGGTTAGCAGTCACATGCCTTAGGCATTAGGCCACCAGAGCTCCCAGGGGGTCCTTACTTTTTCAGGCTCCCAGAGGGATGGCCCCGTCTTTCCACTTCCCCCGCTCGGGTTTTAACCGCTGACAGCACGGGTTACGGCGGGTTGAGCCACCGACTCCGGATATGTGTGTGTGAATGTGTGAGTGTGTGTGCATATGTGTGAGTGTGTGAATGTGTGTGTGTGGGTGTGTGCGTGTGTGTTACTTTGGAGCAGTGGAAGGGGGGCTGAAGGCCCGCGCAGACCTCGGGAGGCGGGGCGGACAGACAGGCCGGCCACGCCCACTTTCCTGGGTGGCTGGGCAGCGCTGAGCCGCTACTCACGCTCCCCTTTCCCCCCTCCTTAGGATGCCTTCGCCCAGCTGGTGGCCAGCAATGGTGAGTGTTCTGCGCCACTTCACCAACCCCATCTCGCTCAAATCTTCCCAACGAGGGGGGCCCTAAGGAAGTGGAGGCTGGGGAGGGGAGAGGAACCGCCTGACTGCGCACCCACTCCTCTCCGACCCCAGTCTGACACGTCTCTCTGAAAGCTGTCCCCTTTGCCTCTTGAACCCACGTCCTCTCTTCCTGACCTTGCTCAGACCTTCCTCTGTGTCATCTCCTCCCCATCTGACCCCCTCATGTGCCACCTCAGACCCCGCCCGCTCAGAGCTTGGCTTGACACCTTCCCCCCAGCCCCCCAACCCCCAGCTCCTGCCTGGCGCCTGGCTTTGTCCCTCCATCTTTGACTTCGGGGTATCAGACCTTTCTCCCAGCCGCATTTTCCCTCCATCTCTCCCCCCAGTTCCCTCCTCCGCCCTCCTCTCGCTCCGGAGTATACGTCTCCCCAAGACCCCTTCCGCTTGGAGTTCCCTTTTCTCCAGTCTCCCCAACTCTCCTCCTCTTCTCCCTGGTCCCCTTTTCCTCTCCTCCTTCCTGACATGCCCCCCCCCCCAGGTCCGAGTCCCCTTCCTTGGATTTTTCCTTCCCCGGCAGTCCTCTGCACCCCTTCGTCCCCGCCTTTCCTCTCCAGCCCCACCCCCCTTGGAAAACCCCTCCCTCCCGCAGAGTCTCTCACCCCTTTACCGAGGCCCCTCCCCTCTGCTGGGTCTCACCTCTTAAGTCCCTCTCACTTTTTTTTAATGCCTTTAAACTTATTATTATTATTTTAAAAATACATTTTATTGAAATATAATTTATATACAATTAAATACACAAAACTAAAGTGACATGGGTCAATGATTTTTTTTTTTTTTCAATGTTCCCTCCCCTCCCCTCCCACCCCTGGTAACCAACAATGAAAGTTTCCTTCAGTATATAAACCTTTCCGTGACTTTTTACAATAATGAACTAATACTGTATTTGTCCTTCTGTGATTGACTTATTGCACTCAGGATAACGTCCTCTAAGTTCATTCATGTTACGCTTAAGTCCCTCTCTTAAAGTCTCTTCCGCTCCACCTGTTGGGTCTCACCTGTCGGGTTTCTCTCCTCTCTCCGCTGTTGAGTCTCGCTGTTGAGTCTCGCCTCCTCGGCTCTTTGGATCTCATCCCCGCCCCTGCTGGGTCTGCCCCTCCCCATTGCGTTTGTACCCGCCCCCCTTGGGTCTCATCCCCTTTCTTTATGGGCCTCCTGCCTTCCCCTCAGAACCCCCAGCCTTTCTCACTATACCCCTCTTCCTCCTCCCACAGTACTGCTGACCAACGGGACCCTGCGCTGGCACAGCGAGCGGGGCTTGGCGGAAGTCTCACTGGCGCCGGGCCTGACCTACGACACGCTCAAGCGGGAGCTGGTGGTGGCGCAGGGCGGGGTCTACTACGTCTTCCTGCACCTGGAGCTGCGGCGCGTGGTGGCCGGCGGCGGCTCAGGCAGCGTCTCCGTGGCCCTGCACCTGCAGCCAGACCAAACCGCCGCCCTGACCCTGGTCCTGGACCTGCTGGCAGCGTCCTCCGACTCCGCCGGGAGCTCCCGGGGCCTCCTGCTGCGCCTGGGCAGTGGGCAGCGCTTGGCGGTCCACATGCGCGCCTCGGCCGGGGCACATCCCGCCTGGCAGCTGGCCCAGGGCGCCACGGTGCTGGGCCTCTTTCGCGTGGCCCCCGAAGACCCCACCGGACTGAGTCCGCCATCTCCGCGGCCTACGTGACTCCTGGGTGCCCTCATCTGGGGCCAGACTGAATCCTGTCCTCCGTGTTCAGGCCACTGGTTCTACCTCACGGGGCTGGGCTGGGCTGGGGTCCCCACCGCTGAGTTCTCCTCCAAGAGCACGCTCAGCAGTTCCGACTCTGGTCCCATCGCTCCGGCCTGCCCCAAGTCAAACTCTTACTATTTATTCTGGGCTTGATCTCAGACAGTGCACTTTATATAACCCATTCCACTTCTATTTATTAAGCACCTGCTATGTGCCAGGCATGTTTTAGGTGCTGGAGACGCATGAGCAACGACACAAACAAACTTATTTATGTTATTGTGAAATAAAGAGACAGCCCAAGTCAGTCTTGGGCTAGCTTTTGGGATATGTCTTACTTTGTGCTATGTTAGCCTCGTTCATCGACCCAACTAATAATTATTGAGGGTTTCTGACTGGGCTATTTAAGGCACTGTCACACTGTGCTGGGTACTGGATAATTTATAAACTTATTGATAACTAAGAATTGAATATTTGCTATATGTCAGACAGGGTCCCATGTGTGTTACCGAGTCCTTAGAGACTTATGGATTTGATTCCTATTTTACTGTTACCTATAAGGCATAGGAGCTCTGGTAGCATAGTGCCTGAGGCACTTGACTGCTAACCAGAAGGCTGGCTGTTCAAACGCACCAGCCACTCCTCGGAAGGAAGATGGGGCAATCTACTTCTGTGGTGATACTGCCTCGGCAACCCAAGGAGGGGTCGCTATGAGTAGGGTCTGACTCAACGGCACACAACAACAACAACAATAAGGCATTGGCAGTTGAGTGGTAGAATTCCTGGCTGTCACGTGGGAGGCCCTGGCTCGATTCCTGCCCAGTGCATCACATGACCTCTCAAGGGGCTCTGGTGCCACAGTGCCTCAGGCATTTGACTGCTAATCATAAGGTTGGCAGTCACTCCTCGGAAGGAAGACAGGGCAATCTACTTCAGTAAAGATTTATTGCCTGGGAAACCCAATGGGGGTTGCTGTGAGTCAGAATGGACTCCATGGCAGTTGGGTTTATGAGGCATTCAGCTGCTAATCAAAGGTCAGTGGTTGGAACCCATCAGCCACTACATGGCAGAAAGATGAGGCAGTCGGCTTAGGTAAAGATTTACAGTCTTGGGAACCCTGTGGGGCAGTTCCGCTCTGCCCACTAGGGGTGCTGTGAGTCTGAATCAACTCCACCACGGTGGGTTTGGTTTGGGTTTTGCTTCCATAAAGACTGATAGCTTTGGAAACCCTGTGGGGCAGTTCTACTCTCTGTCCTCTAGGGGTGCTGTGAGATGGAATCCACTGGGCAGTGGGTTAGGGTTTCTATGCTCTTGACGTTGTCAGATGCCATGGAGTCAGCTTCAGTTCATGGTGACCCCACATGTGATAGAACGAAGGGTTGCCTAAGCCGAAACCATCCCCATGATGGTTGCTATGTTTGAGTCCATTATATTTTGAGTGTCTGCCCACTGGGGCAGGGGATGGGGGTGGGGGCTCATCTTCCAGCACTGTATCAGAAAATACTCTATTGTGATCCATAGAGTTTTCATTGGCTACTTTTCAGCAGTCGATCTCCAGGTCTTTCTTCCTAGTCTTAGTCTGGAAGCGTCTATGAAACCTATCCACCATGGGTGACCTTGCTGGTATTGGAAGTACCAGTGGTGCAGCTTCCTGCATCATAGCAACATTCAATCCACCACAGCACACCAACTGACAGATGGGAGGAGGAGGAGGTGGTGAGGTTCTTTACAGCTATTGTGTTTGTGTGGTGTAAATACTATATAATGGTACCCTATAGCAAATTTCTTCTCAACTCGTTGTTCACCAGCTTCAGGCTGGTAGCTTGAAATTGGTCATCGGGGAGTATTTACACGCAGGAATCGGCATACTACAAAGCAGGGCTTGATTTATTGTTTGTTGATTGTCTAGCTGGATGAAAGCGATGGAGACAATGATAATGTCAACAATGAAGATTAAATGTAAAAATCTCTTGTCTGCATCTATTGTGAACAGCACAAAAGAATCGAGGATGTCTGTCTGGTCTTTTAAAACCATTATCTGATTAAGCAAAGAACTTGATCACATCATTGATAAGCGAGTGAAGTGTGGACATAAGCGCACTGCCCTTAAGTCTATTCTGACTCATAGTGACTCTAGACAGGGCACAGGTGTCTAAGGGTGTCAGTCTTTATGGAAGCTGACTGCCTCATCTTTCTCCCACAGAGTGGCTGGTGGGTTCCAGCCACTGACCTTTGGGTTAGCAGCTGAACACTTAACCACTGGGCCACAGGGGCTCTTGAAGTGAGGATGTATATCCCTTTATATTTCATTTGATCTTCATCTTTAGAAAGAGGGAAAAAAAATCCACCTAATTCATGTTAGAACATGACTGGTTTGTAAATTGCAATTACAGGTTAATTATGGGCCCAAGAGTATGGGGAAAATTAAGGAGAACATTCTGTGAAAGTCAGTTTGTTGCCAGCTACTGTCGCCTTGATTCTGAGAGCCCCATAGTGTTTCCTGGATTACAGTGGTCTGGTGATCAGCTTCCGAAAGGTCACAGCCTGAAAAACTCTGTGGAGCAGTGGGACTCTGTGCACATGGTGTGGTCATGAATTGGAATCAAAAGCAACTAACAACAACAATTTTAATGGAAGTAGATTGCCCGATCTATTCTGCCACAGTACTGCTTGGTTTGTTAGAACTACTAACCCTTAGGTTAACAGCCGAGCACAGTTTGTGCCACTCTTTAGGACCCTGATGATCAATTGACCCTCTGGAATTTGCAGTGAAGAGTGTCTCAACTAGTACTGCTGTCATAGAAATACCACAAGCAGTTCACTTTAAAGAAGAGAAATTTGTTTTCTTAACGGTTTGTTGTTGTGGTTAGGCACTGTCCAGTTAGCTCTGACTCATAGCAACCCCCTGTACAACAGAAAGGAACACTGCACAGTCCTGGACCAGCCTCACAATCATTGTTATGCTTGAGCCATTATAGTGGCCACTGCGTCAATCCATCTCATTCAGGGTCTTCCCCTTCTTCATGGACCTTCTACTTTACCAAGCATGGTGTCCTTCAGGGACTGGTCCCTCCTGATACCATGTCCAAAGTACGTGACACAAAGTCTCACCATCCTCACAGTTCAGGAGGCCAGACATTGAATTCAGGGGGCAGGTTCTATGTGAGCTCTGGTGGCACAGTGCCTAAGGTATCTGACTGTTAACCAGAAAGCTGGCAGTTCAAACTCACCAGCTGCTCTGAGGCAACCTACTTCTATAAAGATTTACCTTCTTGGAACCCCAGTGGGTTCACTAGAAGTCAGAATCAACTCCAAGGCAGTGGGTTTAGTTTTTTGGTGGTTCTAGGGCAAGGCATTGAACACAATGACTGAATACCAAAGGAATTATGGGATGACATCAAGAACATCATCCATGAAGAAAGCAAAAGGCTGTTTAAAAGGCAGGAAAGGAAGAAAGGACCGAAACGAATGTCAGAAGAGATTCTGAAACTTGTCCTTGAGTGGAGAGTAGCTAAAGCAAATGGAAGAAATGACAAGATAAAAGAATTGAACAGAAGATTTCAAAAAGCAGCTTGAGAAGACAAGGCCAAGTACTATAATGAAATGTGCAAAGACCTGGAGTTAGAAAACCAAAAGGGAAGAATACACTCAGCATTTCTCAAGCTGAAAGAACTGAAGAAAAAATTCAAGCTTCGAGTTGCAATATTGAAAGATTCTATGGGAAAAATATTGAATGATGCAGAAAACACCAAAATAAGATGGAAGGAATACACAGAGTCACTATACCAAAAAGAATTGGTCAATGTTCATCCATTTCCAAAGGCAGCATATGATCAAAAACCAACGGTATTGAAGGAAGAAGTCGTAGCTGCACTAAAGGAATTGACAAAGAACAAGACTCTAGGAATTGACAGAATACCCATGAGATGTCTCAACAAGTAGATGCCATGCTAGAGGCACTCACTTGTCTATACCAAGAAATTTGGAAAACAGATACCTGGACAACTGCCTGGAAGAGATTCATATTTGTACCCATTCCAAAGAAAGGTGATCCCACAGAACGTGGAAATTATAGAACAATATCACTGATGTCACACATGAGGAAAATCTTACTGAAGATAATTAAAAAATGGTTGCAGCAGTATATTGACAGAGAACTTCAAGAAATGCAAGCCAGATTCAGAAGAGGTTGTGGAATGAGGGTTATCATAGCTGCTGTCAGATGGTTCTTCGCTGAAAGCAAAGAATACCAGAAAGATATTTACTTGTGTTTCATTGACTATGCAAAAGCATTCGATTGTATGGATCATAACAAATTGTGGATAACATTGAGAAGAATGGGAATTCTAGAACACTTGATTGTGCCCATCAGGAACCTATACATAGACCAGGAGGCTGTCATTTAAACAGAACAAAGGGATACCACATGGTTTAAAATCAGGAAGGGAGTGCATCAGGGTTGTATCTTTTCACCATACTCATTCAATCTGTATGCTGAGCAAATAACCTGAGAAGCTGGACTATATGAAGAACATGGCAACAGGATTGGAGGAAGACTCATTAACAACCTGATAACATAGATGACACAACTTTGCTTGCTGAAAACGAGGATGACTTGGAGCCCTTACTGATGAAGATTAAAGATGTCAGTCTGGAGTATGGATTGCATCTCAACATAAAGAAAATGAAAATCCTCACAACTGGACCAATAATGAGCATCACAATAAATGGAGAAAAGATTGAAGTTGTTAAAGAGTTCGTATTACTTGGTTCCACAGTCAACACCAATGGAAGCGGCAGTCAAGACATCAGACGACGTATTGCACTGGGCAAATCTGCTTCAAAAGACCTCCTTGAAGTGCTGAAGAGCAAAGATGTCACCTTGAAGACTAAGGTGAGCCTAACCCAAATTATGGTATGTTCAATCACCTCTTATGCATGTGAGAGCTGGACAGTGA